GAGTGAAGGCTTGATCTTGCTTAATGAAAACATATTCTTCTTCTTACTCGCTGCTTGTTTTGTGTTGGTGGGACACGTTCACTGAGGTAGGTTCGCCTGTTCCCTTTTTGATGTGGGTAGGTACGTGTTTAGAATGGGGAACAGCTGGAGAGTTGATTTTTGAGGGAAAACTTGGGGACTATGCCACGGTACAGAAGCCCAAGGAGAGGGAATCCCGTTCTCCTCTCTCTCCTTCTCCCAGTTTAAAGGGGAATTTCTGATGAGTGCTGATGCTGTTTTGTAGCTCTTGAAGCACCTTCATTGTCTTCTGCTTGGTGTCCCTCCTTAGATATATTCCTGTTAGCTAGTGAGGTACACTGGAAGGACAGCATGAATGTGATTTATTTGAGGCTGATCTGTTTTCCTTGTCTGCCCTTCTCCGTAACGACGTGTTAGAGCAGATGGATGGGGGCAGCCAGGAAGTGCTGTTTATTCTCCCCAATGTTTTGTGACTGTATCGCGCGCTGTGCAGAAAGCTGATCGATCTGCTGGTCCAGGGCATGCTGGACCTCTGGGAGCAGTACAGGAGATGGGCTTGGCCCAGCGGAGCATAAGCACCAACACACCTTCTGCCTCGGGGTCTTGAGAGAGAGTAGTGCAGAAGAGAGCTTTTGTTCATGGATAGCTTCCTGAAACTTGCCTGGCCCTGAGAGAGCAACATAGAGGTGCCCAAAGCTTCTCCTTGAAGGTGTAGGAAGGATTTCTACGTGTCTATCCCAGCGTGTGAGCACTCAGTGGCCCTGTCAGAGGAGCAGAAGCTCTGCGTTCAACTGCCTCTTCTGAAATGAGATGCAAGTGGTTTTGTTGCAGGCTGTAACAGTTTCTGAAACCCAGATCTTAGCTCATGGTGGAGATGGTGACACCTTATAGAGATGTCTGAGCTGGCAGCAGCTTGGCCCGTGGCACTTGCAAGGCTGTGCAGGTGCCAGCCAGGGCTCACAAGTGGGAGAGGGATGATGCATTGAGTGAAATGTGCTGTTGCCCAAACCAGTCCTTGCTCAGGTATTGCTACTTCATTGCATGGTGGCAACTTGACCGTGTCCTCCTTCGTGCCTGATGAGCAGGGCTTGTAAGTCCAGCCCCAGCAGACTTGCAGGAAAAGGGCTGTGATGAATGGTGGTGGCAGGTTTTGGTCCTTGAGTCTTATTTTACTGTTAAAGCTGGTGGTGGGGCAATGAAGAGGAAAGGTACTTGCCTTGTCCTGGCTTCACACCCTGGACCAGGAGTTTCCTTCTGGAAAAGGGAGAGCTTGTGCCTTCCTGAGAGGAGTTGAGCAGGCTGGTTGTTGGGGGAAGGAGGCTCCAGGTCTGCAGGGAAAGGCAGATGGAGTAGGAGAGGGTGCTGAAGGCTGGAGAAAGGAGAAATGGTGCAGGGCTGGGAGGATGCTGAGTGAGGAAGTAACAGTCCCTTGACCGAGCCCCAGAGTAATGCAAAGAGAGGTTTCCCAGAGACCCATGGACGCTGCATGATTTGCTGCAACTCAGAAACTTTTAGCAGCTCTTGGACTGAAAAAAAAAGCCTGAAAAGTGAAGGACATGCTGTGCAAAAACGCAGTGAGCAGGGAAAACGCGTTCACAAATGCTTTTATTGCCAACCTGCTCTGTTTTGAGATTTCTCTATTTTAAACAATTCTCATTCTGATAAAAGCGGATTTTGAGTTCGAGCCACCTGAACACTTTTCAGTGCTGGCTTTTGGGGAAGCTATCCAGGCAGGCCTGTGGTCCTGCCAGAAGAATTTAGATCCATTCACTGTAATTCCTGGTTGTACCACTTGAATCTGGACGCCAGTTCCCTGGCAGGAGAAGCTCTGTGTCACTGCTAACGCAGGGAAGAGTGGTTAAACTAAACCCTGGCTGCCGCTGTGAAAGTGTGCCAGGCTTCTGCTTTCAACCATAGCAATGCTCCAACACCACTACTTGGCTTTATTGTAGAGAAAAAACGTGTTTACTGCCAGATTCTACCTTTTCCGGGCCAGGCTTGTTGGTCTGAAGTGCAAGGGCTCAAGGACTGACGTTGCTGTACCCTTAGCTGGTGGCACAAGATCTTCCTTTGGAAGTGGCTGGAAGAGCCTGGGCTGGGCTGTGTGGCTGGAGCCCACCACCTGCTCCCGGCCATGTCTTCTCACCTTCTCTTTCCTCGGGCTCCACAGGTCACGCTGTGTTTTTCACCCGTTGGTAGCAAGCTGCGCGTCCGCAGCAGGAGGTTCCCCGCCATCGTCAGCTGCACGGCCATAGACTGGTTCCAGGAGTGGCCACGGGAGGCCCTGGAGTCCGTCAGCCTTCGCTTTCTGCGAGAAACAGACGCCGTGGAGGTGAGCCCACTGGCATCTGGGGAATCCCAAGCCATGCTTGGGTTGGGGGTTCCTCTGCAGGGTGCTGGCCTTGGCCAACCCTGGCGACATGGTGCTGGTGGCAGCCAGGTGTGACCTCGTCGCTCCGTCTGGTGCCAGCAATGCCTCACACATCGAGCACAGTCTTGGGGAGAGGGTTTGCTCACCGTTACTGCCCTCCAGCACTTATCCAGGACATCTGGGTGACCATTTGCGGAGGAATCACTGGTAGTGCTGTAGTGCATTAAACTGCATCAAGCCATGCTAGAAATACAGCCCAGGTTTTTCCGAGAGGGGCATGGACCTTAGCAGAAGGATGGCCACAGGCACCACGCTCGTGTGTGAGTGTGTGTGTGTCCACCAGTAGTATTGCCAGTGGAACGACTGCGTTGCTAACAAGAGAGGCAGCTTACAAATAGGTGTAGAAAATAACTTAATGCTTATGATTATTGCAGGGATTATATGCTTTTCTCTCCACACGCGTGTCTGAGCGTCTGAAATCTCAAGGGCAAAAATATGTCATGTTCTCATTGATGACAGCCTGCTCCTAGACTAGAAGAGATTCAGTTCTGTTTATTTATCTTTTCTGGGCAAGATTTTGGAAGAACAAAGTCTATGATGTTTCTTTTCATGAGTGTGCACTTTCCTCATTTGTACAAGAGAAAAGCCCAAATTTATACTTACAAGGCTGTTATTTTATAGAGCTGAATGCTAGAAAAATTGCTTGGAATAGATAAAGTACAAGATAAAAAGATATAAAAAGAGGTATAAAGTACACGAGCAGACAAAGTTATTTTAGAGATAACAAATGAAAAGGGATCAACTTAGATGTTACATTCCGGATTTTGCTGCAGCGAAATAAAAAGTTAATAAATTCCTTGATACACAGCACAGATCTGCACTGTACGTCGTTGTTCTGTTGAAATATTTTCTCCTTGTGCTCTCATCTTACCATCAGGATTCGGTGAAAGAGTCAATAAGCAAATTCATGGCCTATGTCCACACAAGTGTCAACGAGATATCCCGACTGTACCTGAGCAATGAGCGACGATACAACTACACCACTCCGAAGTCATTCCTGGAGCAAATCAAACTCTACCAGAATTTGCTGCTGAAGAAGGGCAAGGAGTTAAAAGCAAAAATGGAGCGGCTGGAGAATGGCCTGGAGAAGCTCAACAGCACGTCTGCACAGGTCAGCAAACTCTTTGGGGTTAAAAGCCGATGGTTTTCCTTGTTTCTCTTTTAGAGACATCTCTGCATCCTGGTTCGAAGGAGAACTTTACAGGCTGGTGCTGTACAGGGTGTAAAATTCGTGCTAGATCCTGGTGCTAGTCTGGCTTGAACTGGTTCCTGGAGGAGCAGGAGTTACGTTCTGTGCTGGAAAGGCGAAGGGAAGAGACGTGGGTGCAGTCTCCGCTGTTTGGGTGGTGCTAATCCCAGATGAAAGATCACAGGATATAAAAGGAGACAGGGATTCAGTCGGCTGTGTACATCTGTTAACGGCTATATCTCAGCTGTGGTGACAAAATGGCTTAGAAAATACTGGAAGGTCAGTGATTTTTGGAGTTGCGCCCAGGAAACCTACAATTACTTCAGCAAGAGTCCTCTCTTTCCGACTGAGCAGAGCATCCTTTCCGAGTACGGCTGATGTTTATTTTTCCTTGCATTACACTATCCGTCTTTAAGGAAAAGTAATGAACGTCTGAAACGTCGATTAACCATCTGTGCTGGGTTTCTGGGAAAGGGATCTGGTAGCGGGAGAGGGGATTCACCCCTGCCCCTTCCCGGGCTCCAAAACCGCTCGGACCGGGCTCTGGCCAGCCCGGACCCCCATCCCCTCAGCCCGGGCCCATCCACACCTCCGCCAGCGGCCCCTTTGAGCCGGGACAAAGGAGCCCGAAAGGCTGTTTCGGAGCTGCAGTGAGGTGGGGGGAGGCGAGGGCTGCCCCCTC